TGGTCTTAATATCCTGAAAGCACACATCATTAGGACTGAAAAAAACCTTGCAATTTAGATCATTACTTGCCCTTTTCACAGATATAAGATTAGAAGCAAAAGCAGGCATATAAAAGGCTTGAGATTCTTTATTAAATAGGTTCAGATTTCCTACTTTCTATTGGGATTCTATCACCATTTGCAATATTAACACTTCCTAGAGCTGGTTTAATATCACTAATTAGTCTAGCATCCCTAATCATATGGTGAGAAGCTCTTGAATCAATGATTAATGGTCTAGCAGTGTAAGGTGCAGTGTGAATAGAATTTAAAGCATTAACACTTAGGTTACCAGAGTTTGCATTTGCGGAAGTGAGTTAAGGTAATCAGAAGCTTAGTGCTCTGATACCATGTAAGAAATTGAAGAACAAAGTGAAGAACAAGAGAGAGAGAGATAATTCTGAGAGAGAGAGAGAGAGATAAGAAGGATTTACTTTTCCTTAATTAAATCAATGTGCCTTACAGCAAAATAAATAGGCAAGATGCCTAAAATAAATAATTAAAATAATACAAGTTGGTACACAACAGTCAAATGCACGTGGGGAAGGGCAGAAGTAGAACATTTGAATTTCTCATATGGTCAAGGTCTCCTTCCATCATGGTCAAGCTTTGCACCCATAGTCATTGTATTTGTAGTTGACCATATGGTCAAGCTTGTACCATCGCTCTCCTTTCGTCATGGTCACACATGCACCAATGGTCATTGTATTTGAAGTGGACCATATGGTCAAGCTCTTCATGGTCACGCTTGCACCAATGGTCATCTTATTTGTAGTTGACCATATGGTCAAGCTCTTCATGGTCACACTTGCACCAATGGTCACCTTATTTTTATCTTAGTAATTTCTTCATGTCAACACTTATCAGGTGTTGGAGTATCCTTGGAATTCTTGGAGGTGTTTGAATGCATTTGAGGCTAAGAAGAGGAGTTAGAAGTGATCATTGGACGAGCAGAGTTGGGAGCGAGGTGCCAGAGCGGATCCTTGAAGTCGCTCCACTCCAGAGCGGCGTCCAAGAGTCGCTCCTTGAAGTCGCTCTAGTCCTTAAACAAGAAGCAGCCACATCGACCTATTAGAGCGACCTATCGAGGTCGCTCCCAATCCAGAGCAACGTGTGGAGCGAGGCACCTAGATCGCTCGCCTCTTTATCAAATATTGAAGCCGAGATGGCTCTTGGAGCGAGGTCCCAAAGCGACATGGCTAGGTCACTCCAGCTCCAGAGCGACGTGGTCAGGTCGCTACGTGTTTTGTTTGGACAAAAACTTGTGTTATTTCAGGGACCTTTTGGTCATTTGTTTCATGTTTTGACATTTGTTAAACCTAAGTTAAGTATCATGTAACTATGTAAGCCTAGGAGGCAGAGCTATCTTTCATTTTGAAGAACAAAACCTATTGGAAAGTTCATCTTTTTTGAATCAATTCTCATTGTTCTTGTGTTCCTGTTTTGACCTGATTGTATTATCTTCTTATACTTTCATGATTAAGCTTGAATCCAGTATGGGTTTGAAAGGAATCATGAAGATTAGTGAGTAATCCACCTTTGAATTCATGGAATATGGAGATTAAGGGTGATTAGGCTAGAACTAAGATTTTAGTGTAGATTTCTCTTACTCCTTGCTAGTAGAGTATTCTTAATGCATCTTTTGAGTTGGCCTCTCAAAGGTTGAGCTTTAGGCATTTCCCACCTCACAAGGTGTTCGATGAAATGCATGAGTCAACTCTCCTAAGCTTTTAACCTACTTTACCAAAGACATTTGTTGTTAAAGGTGTTAAGATGGCTAATAGACTTGTTCTTAAAGATTACTTCTATAACATTAAACCGAAGACATTTGATGTTTGAGTTATGTTAGTAAATAGCATTCATCTAGACATAGAGGTTGATAGTTTAATTGATCATTTGCCATCCTTAGTTCGAAGTTTGATCACACAAAGATCTAATCCCTACTCTCATGGGTTCTCCTTTCTCTTAATCAATGAAGTTATTTTATTTATCGCTTTTCTTATTCTTAGCTATAGTTTAAAACCATCATTTATTCGATTGCACTTAAATTAAGTCAGTACTTGTGTTCTCAGTGCTTTAAAATCCCTTAGAATTGGTTCAACAATCTTTTATACTACAACATTTGTCTTAGGAGCCTTGAAAACTCCTAACTTCACAGGCCCGTCTCAAGAGTAAGTTGTGTCCAGAGCTAAATTTTTTTGGACCCTTTACTACAAAGGATAAGAAAATTTGGAGTCTTTTTTCCTTTTACAAAAAAAAAAAAAGAAAAAAATGGGGCCCTAATCTGGGATTAAATTTTTTTTAAATGTAACTGGTCATGTGCAAATATACTCTCAGCACATGTCTTGGGCCGGGCCTAATTACCAATATGAAGAGGTGAAAGTTTAGAGTAGCATGGCAGAGCGGGACAAATGCAATTTTCCCGCACTTGCAGTTCTCCTGCACTGCTTTTACCATTCATGTTTATATGTTTATAAAAGCAGTTTAAACGGGAGATCTGCTTGCAATTCAATATTTTCTGTCTTTTTGTGAAAAAAATACCCGCTAACATTTGATGGTGTTATTTTCTGGTTTTTTGTGATAAAAGCAGGAGATCTACATGCAGATTTTACCCGCTAACATTTGATGGTGTTGATCTGTTTTTTCACTAATAAATGATTTTGTTACAAACATTAACTTTAAATATATTTATTTGATTTTATAAATAATGTATAGTGATTAGCTCAAACAATATAGTTCCCAATAAATACATTTCATTTTTAAATTATAAGTATGACATCCAGTCACAAACAAAACACAATATTTTTCAACAAAAATATACAAATCTTTCTATATAAATATCAACAAAAAGTTTAGTATTAGTACCCTGCCAGTTCTTCAAAAATAATTTTGATCAACTAAAACGAAAATGGAAATTTAATTAACATTCCGGCTGATCCTACAACATCTTAGATGTTTATTTTGATATTTTGGTATAATATTTTATTTTTTGAATATATGATCTATAGTTTGAACTGATTTTCTAATTCATAATTTATAATAAATTGTTTGATATGCATCTCTCCTGCATGATCCGCTTGATCTGCACTTGTCCTACTTGATCTGCACTTGTCCTGCTTAATCTGCATGAACCACTTGATCTGCACCGCTTGATCTAAGCCTTAATGAAAAATCAGAGTGCTTACTTCTGCAGGTAAGCACTGCTTGCGCCACTCCTTGTCATAGTAGAAATGAGTGTCTGAGGTAGCGTTGAAAGAGAGCCAACCTTGTATTTACATACAACAAAGATCATAATTTATTAATCAGCATAACCCAACTATATATAATACGGAATCAGGAAACATCAACATTCTCTAATGGTCGGTAGTTGATGGTATGAGACTGTTTAAACTAAAAGGAAAGAGACTGTTTAAACTATATACCTAACTTATTAATTAGTAACACGTCGAATGCAGAAACCATCGATCAATCAATATATAATAAGTAACCATGAATCATCAACATTGTATACTGACCGTCGTTTGATGCTCAGAGAATTTGTAAAACATAGTATAAGAAGTTGTAGAAGGTCTGATCGAGAATATATATTAAAAAGCTTAACATGGCGCAGCAGCTTACCGCCAACCAACATAGAGCTAATATTGATGGCCAAAACCAGCTTTGGTTCTACACTAGCGGCCATGATTGAAGAGTTTCTTTGAGATCATACAGGAGCTCTGATTTGTGAAAATGAAAAGGATTTGACATCGGCTTGTAGGCAGTGTATATATAGGCTCAATCATGCGACTGATGGTGAAGTAAAACATGCATAGGTAGTGTGATTAGTGCGTTAAATTGATCGATAGACAATTATGCGGCGTCTGTAGCGTAATGGCGGTTGTGCAGATGAAGGGGAAGTGATCCGTCTCCGGGGTTAGGTTTAAGTGGACAAAGCTTGAGTTATAACTGGGCCTAGTAAAAGGGGTCTCACTTAAATTGAATCTTATGTAATAGTATATTCAAATTGCACTTAGCCCAAACAATGAAATAGTATAATCACCCAAGAGAGCAACAAAGAAGTTGAACACGTGTAAATCCCAGATTTTCTTAATTAACGATGTGGCAGTACAATAGGAAAGAAAACATTTTTTTAGATAAATAAATAGATAGATATTTTTTAACAGAAATAAAAAAAAATATTTTGGACAATCTCAAATATCTCACATATTTTTGATATCCAAATATATTTGTACCAAATTTTTTATTCTTAGATTTTGAAAAATTTAAGCTTGATTTTTTTAATAATGTAAATAGATTATCCAAATATAAACCAAATCTGCAAACATCTGAACGGAATTTGAAAAAAAATTATAAATATCTGTATGTTACTGAATTATTTAACCTCGAAAATCTACAATCGGAATAGACTTCATCTTAACCTAGTGGATATCCTCCAATAGTGGATATTAAAAACATAATTGCTTAAACATTGATGAAATTGAAACGTATACCAGTCTTTGCGAATCTCCTTTAAAAAAAAAAATGACAACAAGATAGGATTGTTGGAAAATAGATTGATTGAAAGGAGATGGGATGGAGGGTACCAGTAGGAGTGAGGGCTGGCTATTTAGTAGGAGTGAGTGCTAAATAGATTGAAAAGGAGTTGATTCCAGTAGGAGTGAGAGCTGGCTATTTAGTAGGAGTGAGAGCTAAATAGATTGATAAGGAAGAGTAAGGGCTGGGTATGAGTTGCTGTTGGTACTTGGTTGAAGTGAAGAAAAAGGGGGGGAGTAGAGAATTTGAGCATCGGTTGAATTGAGAGGCAGAACTTAACTGTTCATTCTTGTTTTATTTCTTGTATATGAGTTTAGGAAAGGATACACTTGGATGTAACAAGGTCTTTTTTCTTTGAATTAAATTTAACATTCAATTCAAAAAAAAAAAAAAAAAAAATGACAACAAAATGTTGTTGAAAAGGAGAGGGAAAAATAAGGGTTGAGAACAAAAAAAAAATTTAGGTTACACTTTCCCTAAATTCAAATTTCAAACTACAAAACAAAATCACAAAACCTACTCCACTCCGCAATAATTCCCCATTCTCGGCGTTTCCTTATCCAAAAAATCAAAAAGATGAGAGGAAGCAAAGTCACCGGCAAAAGAAAAGCAACCGATATCTTCGGCGGAGCCCTACCGCCACCACCACCATCAGTAGAACACCACCGTCACATCCCAAACTCAAGAGACTCCGACGCAAGCTTCGCAAGCAGCCGCCCCTCCTCAATCGGCCTAACCCGAGATCTACACACCGACAGATCTCACCAATCCTCAACAATCCGATCAATCAACACTTTCCTCGCTTCACACAACTTCCCCATCTCTCTCCGCGCCAACCCCGTCCCTCCCGTCAAAGACATCTCCGAAACCCTAAAATTCCTCCTCTCAACCGTCGATTGCCCCTGCGACACTCTCAAATGGGACGAGGACGTCGTCTTCTTCCTCAAATCGGTTAACTGTCCTTTCAAGCTCACTAAATCCACTCTCCGCGCTCCCAACTCGCCTCACAATTGGCCTAACGTCCTCGCCGTGGCGAACTGGTTGGTTCAGTACGCTCGTTTCCGTCAATATCTAGCGTCTAACCCCTCCGTGGCGCCGGATGATAACTCGATGCGATTGTTCGGGTTTCAAAGCTTCCGTCATTTTATTCGCAATGAGGATGATTTGGTTAACGATCTTGATTCGGATTTCTTGGGGAAGTTAGAAGCTGAGAAGGCTAGTATTGCTGAGACTATCTCTAACTGTGAGAAGGTTTCTGGAGAGTTAGATGCGAAACTCGATGCTCTGAGGAAAGGTCCCTCGAGGAAAGAGGCTCTTGAGAGAGTTAAAGCTGAATTGGAGAAAGATGTGAACAAGTTTTATACGATGGTTACGGAGCGTAGTGAGAGGACACGTGGGATGGAGAAGGTTGTGGAGGAGAAAGAGAAGGAGTTGGCTGCTAAGGAGGAAGAGAAGGAGAGGATCTGTGAAGAGAATAAGGAGTTGAAGAAGAGTGTGGAGGAGCAGAGTTTTAATGTGAGAGATGTGGAGAGGATGAAGAGAGAGTTGGTGGCTGTGGAGAGAGGTGTTGAGGAAGCTGAGGTTGCTAGAGATGGTTGGGAGCAGAAAGCTTGGGAGCTTAACTCGAAGATTAGTAATCAGTTTCATCAGATTCAGAGGCTTGCTATTGATTGTAACCAAGCTATGAGGAGACTGAAGGTGGATGTTCAGTTTGCTGTGAATGAGAGAGGGGTTGAGCCTGGTGAGGTGATGGGTGTGGACTATAAAGGTGTGGTGAAGCCAGCTCTGTGTTCGTTGTACGATGGGGTCAAAGAAGGGTCGATGAAGAAGGTGGAGGAGCTTGTTACGTTACAAGAACAGGCTTCTGAGTTGGCGTCCAAGATGGAGTCAAGAAAGCGTCTTCTCGGGTCGATTCAGTTGCAGATCAATGAAGCGGAGGAGAAGATGAGGATAGTGAAGAAGGAAGCTCAGGAGTTTGCTGCAAAATGCGACTTGGAGGTTAAAACAATGGCGGAGGGTTTGAAAACTGAGGAGAGGAATCTTGAGGATGTGGAGAAAGAAGCTGCGGAGATGTTGAAAGCTTCGGAGGTTAGATTGGAAGAAGAGGCGAAGCAGAGTGAAGCGGAGGTTCAAGCTACTGCTGCAAAGCTATTTGCGCTTATTGATTCGATATCGAAACATAAGGAGTATATGGATTCGAAGATCTTGGAGGTGAAAACTCGTGTTGCTGATACTGCTAGTGCTGTTTCGGAGATATATAAGGCGAGTCTCAAGAAGCAACTTGGTGTGTAGCTAGAGTTTAGATGAGACAAGAGAGACTGTTAAGTAGTTTGCATATTTTATTTTTATGGTGAGAAACGTTGTTGCTTGTGTTTTAACTTTTAAATAGTGGTAGTAGCAATGGCAATTTTTAGGCATGGGTGTTCAGTTCGGGTTTAATTTGGATTTATTAAGGGTTTTTATGTTTTTGGAGACATAAGTTGAAGACCTATGGTATTTAATATTTATATATAAGATATCCAGTTCGGTTTGGATCTTTATTGGTTTGGTTCAGTGCAGACAATGACATTAGAATACAACAGAGAGACCAAGTGCAGTCGACAATGCATACACAAATGCAGGCAGATCAGAAGTTGTTGCCGCTGTGACCAGCTTGTCGTCCGTCACACATCGTTCTGATTCCAAGATCTGACCACCAGCAACCTTCACAGCCACCTTTGTCCCGTAATCACTTGCACATCTCTTCTTCTGCAAAAATAATTACAATGATGGAAATGTAATGATATGTGGCGGTCTTTAAGATTTTTGAGACTACAAATTTTTTAGTGTATATTTTAAAAATTATTTTTGTAATTTTGAAGCAGCGAGACATATATATCAGATCTTCATCCGGCTATTACCTTAAGAGCGCCGGTAGCTGCAAGTAGCCAGTTGCCCATTCCAATGGCAGCAACAATCTTGCCTTTCTCAACAAACTTCTTGACTAATCCAACGGCTTTGTCATTCATCACCAAGAGCTCCGGCGACCTTCCTCCGGGAACCACAATGCAGTCATAATCATCCACAGAGACATCTTCCCAGGCGACAGTCACATAGGAGTTGTGGCTGGACTTCTCGGTAGGAAGTTGCCTTCCCTCCTCCAGGTCGTGAACGATGGTAGCACATTTTTCACCCTTCTTCTTGTTTGGTGACACTGCGTCCACTTTGCATCCCAGAGCTTGAAACGCTTTAAATGGTACGTTGTTACTGTAATCTTCAACACAATCCTAATTTATACATCAAAAGAAGATATGAATGAGAAAATCAATTATTTAGTGCTACTTTTTTGATAAGATCATATAATTACTCAAATGTGCGTGTGAATATACACAAAATATTAATATATATGATTATGGATATTTGAAAATACTAAATAATAGTATATTTATGTTATTAGCATATTTTCTAAGTTTTGTGTTTGTTACCGGAGGTGTGATATTTTAGTGGTTATACTCTTTCCATTGTTGTTGTCGAGTAACATCTTTGTACCAAAATAAATAAATATCGTTTTAAGATTTTAATACAATAATTTATAAATTTATTTATGCCTATATCATTTTTTAAAAAAAACAATAAATTTAACATAATTTTAATAATTGGAAAGAAAAGACTGAACATTTAATCAATTTGAATTTGTGTGAAAAACTAGAACAATATCTAATATGGAACGGACATAGTTATAATTTTTTGACTACTGTCTTTCCTAATTTTTTAATTTGTAATTTGCATCTCAAGAAATTGTTTATTTCATCAATTTTTATATTCCCATTCCATATTGTCCAAAAATAACAGAGTCAAATTTGTGATTCCAACAAAATATAAAGAGAGAAATAGAGTCATATGTATCATATATGATAAGAAGAAGCTTACCCCAATCAAGAAAAGCAAAGAAGGCCGAGTCTCTTTGGAACAAGTAATCTTGGAGCCAAGTGATTCTAACAAAACCGTGAGAGTATTTCCAAGCGTTGGCCAACCCAAAGTGGAAATAAATTTTCCGTCCATGACACAATCGGTAATGTCGAAAACGGTTTGGACACCGGGCTGTTGCCACCACGCGCCGCCCGAGAGCTCGATTAAAGGCTTCATGCTTTCGAACGCCGTGCACTTCATTCCACGGGCGAGTAGACCAGCTGCCGCCAACAGCAGCTGACTATGGCAGCTCGTGAGAATAATCTTATCAAGCTCAGCGAATCGAGCCACCATGCTGACGCATTTCTCATCAGTGCTCAAAAGTTCCGTGAAACGTCCACCGGGAATGATTATGGCGTCGTATTGCTCGGGGATAACTTCATCGAAGTTTGCGTTTAGTGTTAGATGATCGACCACCAACTCGGAGTATATCTGTAATAAGATGGGAAATGTGTGTCCTTAAAATAATTGTCTTTACATACCAATTAAAAATAATTATATATTTTTTTCATTTGTTTGGTTTTGCATTAAAAACGGCATTATCTATATCTAATACAACCAATTAAACATTTTATGCATAATCCAAACAGTCATAAAATTTAAGAACATCATTTAATGTCAAAAATATTCTACAACATCATTTGAAATGAACTCTTTAACTATAAAAATAAATTATTCAGTAGTATTAATGGCTAAGACCGTAAGAGTACAATGAAAATAATGAAAATTCGGATAATAATTGGATTACTAATTGCAAATGTAATGATTTTGGGGGTCTTTTTTCCTTAATATATCTTATTGTTATCTTTAATTTTATTAATCAAGCAAAGAATATATTAGAGGCAAAAACCAGATGAAGAATAAAGTGAGAGGTAAGAGAAACATGCCTCGAGGCCGAGGAGATCGTGAGCCGCCATGACGCACTTGTCGCCAGTTTTGCGACCAGGAAAAACGCAGTGGACGCTAACGCTAAACGCTTGGAGGAAGTAGAGAGGTACTACGGTCTCGTATGCTTCCATGAACTCTCCGCATAACATCAAAACCGACTTCTGAGCCATTGATCCCATAATGATCTCTTACGACAGCACACACACAACTAATTGTATATATAAACATAAGTTCGAATAGTCACAAATGTATTCTTTTTTTTTATCCAAGAAAAGGAGATAATATACAATAAATGTAAGTGGACACGTGACTCCGGCCATTTGGAGCAATTATTATTTATCTATCTTCATACGTGTTGAATAGTGAACTTATACTTGATGTTAGTATTAAGTGAATGATGAGACGAGTCAAAGTCTCTGTTGGACTTAGAGGATTAGACGGGCTAAAGGTTAATTCCAGTTATGGGTTTGATCTACGAATCTAATTAAGGTCCGGTTATTATAAACTCTTGGGATATATAAAAGAGTAACTGAGTTGTGATGTTGTCGTTGTTCTAATTCTTCATACATTTGTTAGATCGAGCTGAGAAATACCATTTTAGTGGATTGCTGGATTGAATTTGACCCCAATGATTACTTCTTTATATCGGAGAAATACCCTAGGTAAACAATCATGTTTGTATTGCTTTAGATTTCTTCTTCGTTATCTTGGTTATTTGCAAGAAAGCAAGAAGATAGAGATAAAAGCTGGAGGAATCGTTGAAGGTTGGGAAACTAGAGACTTGATTGAAGTGATATAGTTGTAACAAGTGGTATCGGAGCTACTCACTGCTCGTTTTTGCGATCGATCTCGATGATGAAGCCGATGACGCGAGCGGAGGTGGTGGTGGAACGATTCGACGGCACCGGTGATTTTTCTCTATGGAGGATTCGTATGATCGTGCACTTTGGAGTCTCCGGATTGAAAGAACTTATCCTCTCAGATAATTTCGAGATCGAAGCGAAAGGAGAAGGCCAGAAAGACGAGAATGAGGATTAAGAGAAGGAGTCAACGTCTCAGACGAAGGCGACCTTGGATCCAATCAAATTGGAGAAGGATGATTGAGCACAAGATATGATAATCTTGAACATAAGCGATCATGTATTGAGGAAAATCAAACATTGTGCCACCGCGGCGTCTATGTGGTCTCTTCTGGAGAGGCTGCGCATGTCAAAGTGCTTACCTAATAGGATCTTTGTACAGTCTCAGTTCTATAAATTCAAGTGTGATGGATTAAAGACGATCAATGTCAATGTTGATGACTTTCTGAAGATAGTTACAGAGATGAGTAGCTTGAATGTTAATGCCACAGATGAGATTCAAGGTATTGTGTTTCTGAGTTTGATTCCAGAAAGCTATGATCAACTAAAGCATACGTTGAAGTATGGAAAATACTTTATAACTTTAGAGGAAGTAGTTTCAGCTGCAAGATCGAAGCAAAGAGAGATAAATGAGGGTAGCAAAGGCGAGAATGGGTATGTTATAGTTCTGTACACTAGTGACAGAGGAAGATCAAGCCGCAGAGAGTCATGGGACTCACGGGGTGGGAGGTCAAGAAGCAGCTCAAAGCCGAGGAAGGTAACATGCTGGTATTGCAAGAAAGAAGGTCATGTAAAGAAGGACTGCTATGCTATGAAGAGACGGATGGAGTCAGAAGACAGTGGTGAAGTTGCAGTGGCCATAGGAGAAGTTGAGAAGATGAGTGCTTTACATTCATCACCAGATGATGCTCAAGACAACTGGGTCATAGATTCGGGATGCACCCATCATATGACGTGTAGGCGAGACTAGTTTGTTGATTTCACAGACATCAGACCAACGAAGATATTGCTTGGAGACTATCATTCCATATAAACCTCAGGACGTGGAATGATACGACTGAACACAAAGGGAAGATCTGTTAAACTCATGAAAAATGTTAGATGTTCCAACTCTTAGAAGAAACCTGATCTCTACTAGTACCCTTGACAGGTTGGGATTCACTCACTCTGGAGGAGAAGGAAAGATCGTTTTTCACAAGAATCAGAAGATGGCACTTCAAGGGAATTTGAAGGGAGGCTTATACATTCTTGATGGTGAAACATTGACAACACCTGAAGTTTTTCACCCTGAGAAAACTAAAGAGGTATCAATGTGGCATAGTAGATTGGGTCATATAAGTTACAGAAATATGCAGGTTCTTGTGCGAAGTGGAATCCTGAAAAAACAAGACATTGGAAAAGAAGTGATGTGTGAACTCTGTGTCATTGGAAAAGCAAAGAAGGTGAGTTTTGAGATGGGAAAGCACAACACTAAGCAAGTACTTAAGTACTTACATGTTGATCTCTGGGGCTCACCAAATGTGACGCCTTCCTTATCTGGTAACCAATATTTTCTATCAATTATAGATGATCATTCTAGGAAGCTTTGGGTGTGTTTACTCAAAACTGAGGATGAGCATTTACTAAGTTTTGTGAATGGAAAAACTTAGTTTAAAATCAGGTTGATAAGAAGGTTAAGTACTTACGCACATATAATGGTTTAGAATTTGTCAATCATGCTTTCAATGAGTTTTGCAGAACAAATGATATCACAAGACATATAATCTGTACCTATACGCCTCAGCAAAATGGCGTGGCAGAGTGCATGAATATAACTACCATGGAAGAGGTTTAGTGTTTGCTGAATGTCAGGGTTTTCAGAATCTTTCTGGGTAGAGGCGGTGAACATTTCTGTGTATATGATAAATCGATCTCCCACAGCATCCATGAAATTCAAATCACTTGAAGAGATTTGGTTAGGTAAACAACCCAGTTATAAACATATGAGACGTTTTGGTTCTGTTGTTTATGTGTATAAACATCATGGAAAGTTCAAGAAAGAGAAAGAAAGGGGATCTTTATAGGATACCATGCAGGTACTAAAGGCTACAAAGTGTGGATGTTGGATAGCGAGAGATGTGTTATCTCAAGAAACGTAAATTNTGAAGAGATTTGGTTAGGTAAACAACCCAGTTATAAACATATGAGACGTTTTGGTTCTGTTGTTTATGTGTATAAACATCATGGAAAGTTCAAGAAAGAGAAAGAAAGGGGATCTTTATAGGATACCATGCAGGTACTAAAGGCTACAAAGTGTGGATGTTGGATAGCGAGAGATGTGTTATCTCAAGAAACGTAAATTTCATGAAGAAAATTACTTACAAGGATCTGAGATGAAGAAATCAGTGCCTACTGAAGATGGTGGAGCTCGTGTAGCAGTGCAGATTAGAGAGTCTACATGGGATATATTATCTAAAGATGAGATGAGTTCTAATCAAGATGGGGTAGTGCAAAGTGAGATCATTACTGAGGAGCCTGACGTTCAGCAGGTTCGTGATCAGAGTGATACAGAAGAAGCTAGAACGAGCCTTGCAAATTTTGAACTTGCTCGAGACAGATCAAGGAGGACTATAGTAACACCATTGAAATACAATGACTATGAGTTCACTAAAGAAGAAGTAGCGTTTACTCTCATCTGCTCAACGTTGATGTATGTTGAGGAGCCACAAAGCTACAGAGAAGCAATGGCTAGTCCAGAAGAGGAAAAATGGAATAAGTCAATAGATGAAAAAATGGATTTGTTGCAGAGGAATGAAACCTTGAGTTTGATAAAGAAGCCTGAAGGATGTAAGATGATCAGTTGCAAGTGGTTATTCAAGATAAAGCCAGGAATAGAGGGAGTGGAGCCAAAGAGATATAAATCTTGTTTGGTTGCAAGAGGATTCACAGAGAAGGAAGGTATCGACTATCAAGAATTTTTTGCTCCGGTGGTGAAGCATGTATCGATACGTGTGTTGTTATATCTTGTGGTTAATCCAGACTTGGAGTTAGAACAAATGGACGTGAATACAGCATGTCTTCATGGAAATTTAGAGGAAGATATATATATATATGTATAAACCAGAAGGATATGAAGATCCAGAGAAGAAAGATCACGTGTGTCTACTTAAGAAGTCTTTGTACGGACTGAAGCAGTCTCCTCGATAATGGAACCACAGATTTGATCAGTTTATGAAGTCGAGGAAGTTTGTGAGGATTCAGCATGATCAGTGCGTGTATACGAGGGAAGAAACATGAAAGAATAGCGTGTATTTGTTATTATATGTTGATGACAAGTTGCTTGCATCAAGGAGCATGTCAGAAGTGAAAAACTTGAAGGAAGAGTTGAGATTTGAATTTAAAATGAAGGACTTAGGATATTCTCAGAGACAGAGTAAATGGAGTTCTACGTTTATCTCAGAGTAACTACTTGAGGAAAGTGCCAAAGAATTTCAGAATGATGGAAGCGTCAAGTTTTTCGACACCAATAGGAACTCACTTCAAGTTGGCATGAGTAAAGGAGAAGGATGAGTGCCTAGATACAGAAAATATCGATATTGCTCTGATGTTGGAAGTGTAATGTATGCAATGGTAGGTTCTCGACCAGACCTTGCATATGGAATTGGTTTGGTGAGTCGGTTGAGTAAACCTGAAATTATTCACTGGGAAGCAGTGAAATGGTTACTTAGATACATCAAGGGAACGTTGGATTTGGATTTGTGCTATACACAGTCGAAGGAGTTCAGCATTCAAGGATTTAGTTGGTTCAGACTATGCAGGAGATTTGGATAAGAAGAGGTCTGCATCAGGTTATGTGTTTATGGTTGGTGATAATGTGGTCAGCTGGAAGTCTCAACTTCAACCAGTAGTGGTGTTATCAACAACTGAAGCGGAATATATTGCTCTTACTGAAGCAGTGAAGGAGGCAATTTGGTTAAAGGGATTGCTTGAAGATGTTGGAGTCAAACAAGGTCCTGTCAAGATCTGGAGTGATTCTCAAAGTGCGATTTGTCTCTCTAAGAACAATCTTTTCCACGAGAGGACAAAGCACGTTGCTAAAAAGTATTACTTTATCTGAGACATTATTGAAGATAAGGTAGTTGACATATTGAAGATACACACAAGCATGAATCCTTCTTATGTCCAGACAAAGGTAGTACCAGTGGGAAAGGTAGTACCAGTGGGAAAGTTCAACTCAGCGTTGGATATGCTCAAGGTTCTCAAAGCTTGAAAGCTTTAGCACCAGCCAGACGGTGTAGATCCTGAAGGTGATTCACGTGTATAGAATGGTAGTATGTATCAAGTTAAGTTCATGGTGGAGTTTGTTGAATAGTGAACTTAGACTTGACGTTAGTATTAAGTGAATGATGAAGCGAGTCATAGTCTCCGTTGGACTATGAAGATTAG